GGAAATCTATCAAGTTGTAAAATAGGCGAGAACCTCAAATTTCCAAAAATACTTTGGTAGCTAAGAGAAATAATTTTTCTATACCAATGTGTGTAATTGGTAGGCAAAGTAATATTAATAGAGTAACCAGCTATTCCTAGTCATTACGAGTGACCAATTAAATAGGTGGAATTCATATATAGTATAAAATGATCACTATAAAATGTAGTTTCAGCAGCCTATCCAAGAATTTTGCAGATATCATATTTGGGCACTGAGCGAAGCTTTTATCTGACCCTTCCGATTTGAGCTTCGCCATAGTTTCCGCCACTTCCTTGCTCATTTTTGTCCATATTACTCTGAAGGATGGAAGATCTTTTGCTTTACCAGATCCCTAGGATGTCAGGCTTTGCAATTGGTAGCAAGTCGTTGGGTTCCTCGGCACTGGGGGACATTCAGAGCATTTTCCTTCTGAGGGACGAAATTTCCCATAAGGCGTAATACATTCTGGATGTGTAATTTTGCAGGGAACTTCGGCTTTCTTTTAGCTTTATGGTGATAATCCACTTCATATGAGTTGGGGCTATGATATTATTTCTTCCCAGGTGTATCGGAAGGTTCCAAGTGCACGAAAGTCTCATCACTAATAACGATAATCGTCTGACAGAAAGTTTTTTGGCAAGCAGTTTTTGCTTGTGATTCTGGATTCCTTGTGTATTTAGGTGCATCGTTTTTTACGCAAGCTTCTATGCCCAGTTCCTGGAGTATAATTATACGCAACCAGGATCCCGAAATTTTGATTTTCTTGACCACAGTAGATAATTTTGTTGAAGGGTTTTCAAATTATGCCTTTCTTCACCTTCCCCAGAGTTTGGGCTGATACTGGGCATGCAGAATTTTTTTTGAACTTAACATTTTTACAATGCTAATGCTCGTACCAATAATTACAAATAGTCGTTTCTGGAATTCCTTCCAAAGTGAAATTCTACGAGCCCAAATTAGAATCGAATCGAGCGGAAATTTTTCGGGTTTGGCAAACACGTTTCTCGAGTTATTGACTTTGAACTCTTTTATCTTTTGAACCACTCATTGCACAGAGGTGCTACTTATATTGGTATGACCCTATTGAAATTGCCCTTGAGAAAAAACATATTACTTGCATCAGCTACTGTTTTATGTACCAGTTACAACGCCCCAGTGCCGTATCTGTACTTGGTCCGGCCTGGAGAGTAAGATTCTCGTCCGGCCTTTTATGCGGCAAACTTACTATAATACAATATAACAGATTTCTTCTCATATTTTGTTCATTTCTCGCCATTAGTAACCAAAGACTTTATCGCTAAAAATATGTAGTGATTTATATCAAAAAATTAATTTTATGTGCATGCCTTTAATGGGCTTCTGATTTTTTATATTTATTTATACGTTAGCAAGCACTAAATTAACCACAACCAGTTGCGGTTCTCAGAAGTGTCAAAATATTAGTCGTAAATTTTCGTACATACATAGATGAAGCCAAGAATAAATGTGGTACGATGTAGCACCAATTTTTTTAAAAATATGGTGAAGCTCAAAGGCGATTGTTTACATCAACCATACCTGGAATTTCTTACCCAACCACCCAGCAATGCTGGGAGAACACTTGGGGCACTTGGGAGAACATTGGGAAAAATGCATTTGGCCGGAAGCGAACAGATTACGCAGCAAAAATTGAATTACTAACTAAGATAAGTACTGCCAAAGGCATGCGAAATTGAAAGAACTGTAGGAAGTCCTGCCAAAATCACTTTTCTTAGCTTCTTCTCTAAGAGTTAGTTAACATTATCAAGTAAATTTTGAGAGAAAATCTAAGAAAGTTGGTTTTGGTAAGGATCGCTACAGGGGCTCAAAATCAGGTCGGATTTAGAATTTTTGGGATAAAAAATCATTAAAAAATAGAATTTATAAGTGTTTCGTTGTCGTTAACAACTTATTTGCACTGAAGTTCTATCCCTCTTCTAAGACTACTTGGAATATCCCGAGCCAATGTAATTATGTCTGGCTGTCCTTCGGAAAATGAGAAGTAGGCCTTGCAAAACTTATGTGATTGACTTATGTAATTTTGTATGCACTTACTATATCTCAAATAAAGTAATCAGTTAGGGGATTAGCACTGTGTAACCTATTTAGTTTTGGAAAAAGAAATAGAAGATTTTGATAACCAGTATGTAAGAATTAAGTTAGGTGATAGATTTTTGCAAGAATTTGCTAAGCCAGTTTATGTATATTTTACAGGGGTCTAGATGGGTGACCCACATTGATTTTTTGAAAATAACAGGAAATAATATAGTGTGCAGTGTTTATTTAGCCCGAATCATGGTCAGAACCCGCTTCTAAATTTGCATTCGCCTCTAAAAAGCATACAATTTACGAGATTGCGTAATTTTATCAAAAATAATGTGCGTGAGTGCGAACGCGAGAGTGAAGGCAGTGGAGTGACCTCGAAGGAGGAGAAAATTTTCACGCCTCCGCTCACCCGCTTAAGAAAAAATAACAGGCCGCTACTGTGAACTTTGCCCTCAAATATTTGACCTGTAAGTGCCCATTCAACGGAAAGAGAAGTACCAGGTCATTTCTCATTTTTAGCTTGATTTTTTAGTATAAGTCACTAAGCTTATCTCGTGTAGCTTGAAAAAAGGTCCCACTGTGAGATCAGATTAGGATTTTTGGCGAGTGTTTCAGTTGCGAAAAAGCACACGAAAGGTTTTCTGACAAATTGTTTTGTATTATTTCCCAAAAACAAAATAACCTTTCAGAAAGTTTTCAAAAAGGAATTGAGACTATTAATATTGACAGAAATTGTATCAACTACTATTCTAGCAATTCCTCAACGCAGTGGGGATTACCTTGGGTCATCTGGCATGACAATCTTACAATTTAAAAATTTTGTATTTGCATGATCTACCCCACCTGCTTTATGCAAATTTAGGTCTTCTGTGACCATTTTAGAAAATCAGTGGGGGTGACCAATTTGGTCCTAATGACCAAATTGGTGACCCCTATATATTGTTCCATGGTTATGACATTGTATTTTCATTTTAGTGAGCAAATGTACCGAGTTTTAGCGGTTTATGACCACTTCAAATGCACTGAACCAACGACCTCGCCCGATTTTAATACCCCACCGATGAGACAATCAAATTCACGTGTATAAAGTTCGAAATCAATTTTACAATTTTGAATCTAAATTAACTAATGACGATCTACAAGGCCTCAAAAGAGCCACGGGTCGCCCTAATCACAGACTTGAGCCATATTCTAGTTAAATTCATAATTCTAAATATAGTTTAAAAAATTTCAAGTCAATCGGTTAAGTCTTACGTGACTGACAATTAATTTACAGACAGACAGACTTACATTGTTACATAAGCCCATACTCAGGTAATTAGTTCACTAAATTCTGAACCATATCACAAAATACTTTCCAATGACGTATATTTTATCAATTTAAAAATCAAAATTGTCGAGCAAGGCCGAAGAACGTACCTTGGAGAGTACTTTCCTTTATGCTTCGGCTCACATTTAAAAAAAAATTAATTGAGAGAGCACAGCAAACTTAACTTTAAAGCTTCGTTCTCCAATACTTTGCATGACATAAAATAAAACGGGGAACACTTTTCACCTTTTTTTGTTCGGCTTGTAAAATGAACAAGTCATCGCAGCATTTAAAACACTTCGAATTAATAACAAATATTCGCATTCGCATTATTAAGGGGTGAAAACCCCTTTATAAGATCGTTATGTCCGTCCGTCTGTCTGTCTGTCTGTTCGTCCGTAGCTCCGATAACTTTTGAACGGATTCGAATTTCGACATGCGATTTTCGCCAAAGTGTTTCTAATTTTTAAAGTACGGATGAGTTCGAAGATGGGCGTTGTAGGTCATACGGTCACGTTGCCACGGTGATGACGCCAACGGTCAAACGTGTCGAATTTTTGGTTTCCACCGTTCAAGACTTATTTTTGGACGGGGATTTCAGAAATCGCCATCATTTCGACGTGCGATGACAGTGTGACCGTGTAGACCACGCTGACCGTGTAGACCAAGTCGAAAATTCCGTGTTTTCACCCCTTTGCTACACTCCGTTTGCAACGGTTTATTTCAGTGTCGTTTGAATTTTGAAATAAAATATTTTACCAATCGAGTCTCGAAATTCAAGGAAGTCGCTAAATATTAAGACAAAACACGAAAACCCGATTTGGCAAAGGGGGTCTCGAAATTCAAGGCAGCGGCCAAACATATTTAATAAAAAAAATCGACGCGTAATTTTTTTAAATTCCTGTTTACATAATTCGTAAAAAGCAACAGATTTTAGTCATCCAATCCGTTTGATCTTTCGACCTGACCTAAAATGATAATCAAAATTCCACATTTCTATCATATAAAAGCTAATATGCCAAGTACAATTAATTTGTAAAATTAAACTTATTAGAAAACTGGGGTAAGATATCCAGGCACCGGCCAAATTTTTCTCTAAAATAGTTTTAAAATTATTTCCAGTGGTATGTGACCATATTTTAACGCCTAAGACAAAAACTCTAACTTAGCCCAAAATTCGCACATTTTGGCTAATATCTCGAAAACCACCAATGGGCGACCCCAATATTATTTCGGATTTCTGATATACTCAATATTACGCTAATGTTAAGCCATCAAACTCGAAAATCGTTAGAGTGTGAAAAAAACGCTATTTCATTGTGGGACGGTCCATAAATTATGTCACGCGATAGGGGGGAGGGGGGGGGTCCAAGGCCCCAGTGATATCGTGTCTATGTGACATCCATTCTCCGGGGTTAGTGGGGGGTCTACAAAATCGCGATTCTTGCGTGACATAATTTATGAATCTCCCCTGCATATAACTATCTTAACTATCTTAAATAGAGTAAGGTTTTGCACAATATGTACATCTAGGCCAAACCAAGAATAAGTAACGTAGATAGAGTAACGAAAATCTGTAAAAAAAATGAGGTTATCCCTGTTCTAGACTATTTCATTGAAGAGAACACTTCAAAAAGTTGCTGGGAGAACACTTCCAAATTTTTGTAAGAAATTCCAGGTATGTCATCAACCCCAAAACTTCTATTCCTATAATTGCTTTTCTTGCTCCTCTTATTAATTGGCTATTGTGTACGGCTCACTAAACAGAACATTTGGTTTTTCTAAGCAGCTGGATGTGTGGAAAACCTCGGTGACATTTTCTTTACACCCAAATAAGTACATAGATCTTTGAAAAGTCTAATTTTGAGAAATTATAACAACACGTTTGTGGGTAAACATTTCAAAATAGTGCTTTCCAGAGGTAGCTGTTCTTGAGGGACGGGGTGAAAAATTGTGACTTTAGTCGCTAAGTTGTATGATACTTCGAAGGGTCAATTATACCTAGTGTCAGCATCAGCCGGCCGGTACGGCCCCTCGGGCCGGACGGCCTGGAGAGTGCTCTCCACCTAAAACCAGTCCTTCTACGGCCCTGCAACGCCCAAAACTCAGTCTCCCTTTCTCCCGGCGCGGTTATAGTACCTCCGCGGGGTGACGATTATTTAGAGTGTGTAGACTAAATCCAGCGTGAACTTTACGCTTTATCAAGTTAAGATTACTCATGATTTTGTAAAGTTTACTAAAAATAGTATTCGAAGTCCACTTACTTTTCAAAAGGGTGACATTATTTTTAAGAGTGCATTTAATTTATTTGCAGATTTTCCTCACGCCAATCAACGCGGTGATTGTATATTTTCTGATCTCCATTCATACGGAGAAAGGTTACATGTCAAGGCGAACGGAACACAGTAAGTTCCAGGCATTTCTTAGTGTGGAACAAACTTAATTAATTTATCCCACGGATTTAAATATTTATTCAATTAATTAATTCACTTGGGGTACAAATAGTTGCAGATGAGTTTGCAGGGTTGCTGGGGGGTGGACTTTTTGGCCTAATTTTAGCCATATTACTTTACTTGGGGGCGAAACAGGTAAAAATTTCGTCTTTGACCAAACGTCTGCTTATTCACCAAATAAAAATTGAGCACTATTTATGTACACTCTTAGAAATCCAGTATTAACGTAATACCAGGCGGTATTAATACATATATGACTCTCCAACGTAGTATTAATGAATAATACTGTGTAGTAATAACCCGATATTACGGTTTTACAATATTGGTGTCCAATTTTTACGGACCGGTATAATTTTAATACCCAGCAGTAGCAACTTTAATACCGAGAAATCTATATCTGCCTGACTATACTGGATTTCTAGGTGTACATATACCCGGTGGTGACCATTTGTCACCAAACTATGTATTTAGAGTGTAAAGTTAAAATTGTGTTTTTTGCAAATCATGATTTTTCCGTTACATACTTTGTGCACGGTCCCTCGTACATTTTTTTCAGGGGAGCAGAACAAAATGTCGAATATGGCTCTGGTTCAGCACTTTAGGCACGTGTTTGTCACTCTGTCACGCGTTTGTGGTCACCATGCCGGCAGTCGCGGGGGATAAAATGGCACCCATTCCGACCGGAGAGTTTTTCGGACTGGGGCTGATTTTCTACTTTCTTCACGTCGTTGATAAGTACTCGGGTGAGTTAAGGGTGCTTCAGGAAGAATGTCTGGCTCCACGTCAAGATTCAGACCTCAGCCATGGTTTCCCTGCTGAGGAGACTGTGTGAATTTTTTATTTATTGCGTAACTTAGTTTAAGCTAATTTTAGTGTTGTTTAGTAAATTGCATAAATATTTGCTAAGGGAAGGTTCACATATTACGTCGTGAGAAAGAAGGGTGTGTTTTTCTTGTTCGTTTTAAGCTTGAAACGAACAGGATGAAGAAGGGATGGGTGGATGGTCTGAATAGTTGTGCGCTTTAAGATGACGTAATATATGAACGTCCTTTAAATGAGTATTCATTAAAAATAGATAATAAAAAAGTTTGTGCTTCTGGTATTTGAAAAATTCCGGAAAAAATGTTTGTGTTACTGATTTCTAACAAGTAAATTCATGATGCCGTTCAACGGTTTTATTCATTGCTATGTTTTATGTGAAACATTTAAACACGAATGTAATCGTGAAAAAGGGGCACGTATGTAAATACTAATCTTTAAAACTAGTTCAAATCGATTACGTAAATTCTTCACTGTTCAAAACTCATGGAGCGAAATCCAAGCAAATTTGCATGTTTTTCTGGATATCAAGTTCCATTGAAGGTCGGTGTCTGTCTTGAGTGCAAAAAAATGATGCAAAAAATGAGACGCCAGAGAAAGCCAGGTTAACCGAGATTGATCATCAATCATCAAGGCGAGCGTTCCTCAAATGCGAATCCAAAGAGGTTAGGCAACGTGCATGTATTACGTCATCATTTTATTGAGGGGGTGATTTTGGTTATCTTATCCTTCCCATGTTAAAATAATTCCCTATCCCTTAATGTATACGTTGGGTGGGTGGGTGGTAAATAAAATCGTGCATTGTTAATGACGTAATATATGGATGGACCCTGAAGGCAAACAATTTGTAAGATTATATGTATCACCAAGTATGCAAAGACGAGAAGAATGTGATTTGTTAGAATGTGAAAATTATTTGCACTCTTAAAAATAATGTTAACCTTTTTTAAAAGTATGTAAATTCGGTCCGATTTTTAACCTATGCAAAATCCAGTGCAAAATTTGTTCTTAATCTGGTCAACGTAACCCGGGATTTACTATAGTTTACCTAATTTAAAGTTTAGAGTATTTATGTGCGTACAATTACTGAATTTGTTTTCAAAATGGTTACATTATTTTTAAGAGTGCACACTTGTCAATTGACACAGCCAAAACTTTTCTAACATGGATGACATACTGGATGCACAGTCCCCCAGAGAAAATGTCGGTTTTCGGGGTGCTTTCATCCTTTGGAAAAAATCCATTCTCCAGTCGACTCTCCTCTCGTCTCGAGAGATATTTAATCTTACCCTTAACAAAATGTGTTTTGGGAAAACTTGCCGTGATAAAACGGGACACATTGTATTTAATCTTCCAAATTGTAAGGAATACTGATTGTTTTATTTAGTCGCAATGGAGTGGAGGTCTCGTAGAGCATGTTTTTTTCGATTTTGACCAAACTCCTAATCGATCAGAGTTCTTATCGGTATGCAATTTATTTAAAAAGACACCATCTCTCAATATGTATCTTGTATTTAGCGAAGATATTTTCATACGAAATATTACTATTTTCTAAACCACCTTTTTCTGGATTACATATTTTATGACTACATATAATACAACAGATTGCGATTTTTCATTGACAAAAATTGTAATTTTCCATGTTATCTGAATTTTTTGGTCAATTTGTTAAATGTACTTACAATCCTTGTTAGTTTACATATGTATTCACACTGCAATACAACGCGTTGCGGAATTTTAACAAAAGTAAAAAAAAAGTGCCACGTTAGCAGAGCTTTTTTCTTTGTTGAACGTAATTTATTTACGAGTTTCACCTGGTTTATGTGTGTATTATTCACGGCATAATAGTAAACAGCTTTTTCATTGATAATACATATTAGAAACTAAAAGTGCAAAATACTTAAGATTCCATTAATGATATGATATCATTATAATTATAATTGCTGTATGTCACTTGACGTCAATGTTTTCATTGTAGCCATGTGTATAAAATTGTGTCAAAAATGAATTTCACAAATCAGTTCGAAGCTAATTCTCCTTGATAAAGGGTACATACTTCTTAGAAAACCAATTTAGGCTCCAATCATGTCGAAATTTTCTGCCATCATCGCGATCATTTGTGTCGTCTGTATTTCCTCCGTGTCTTTGGCTCCAGTTGGTAATTTGTAAATCTTATAAAAAGAAATACTCATGCACTTCGACTTTTGCAAAATTTTTGTCGGTCAATCAGAAATTTAATTAATAAATATACAATTTGGAAGAGGGTACCTTCGTAAAATACGTAAAGCTGGGAAGCATGGGCAAGATATGGATTTTTTCCTATCCTGCTCATTGTAAGCATCGTTACGAACGTTCCCAGATGCATTCAGTGGCGGATAAATAGGGTATGTGGGGTAGGTGTGACATACGGGCCCCCGCTGCGCTGGGGCCCCCGGGTGCGGCGTCGTGTATATATTGCTATACCTAAGTGTGGTCAACGAATTTCGAAAAATAAATTCATTCATACTACGGATAAATTATTATTAGCTAAATTGTTATTAAGCACTCGCACAACAAGTAGTTTGGGGAAACTTCAAGTAGGTGGTTAAGTATTTATGTATACCTGCTGGTAATTCGGTTACGATTATTTACCGCTGATTTGGAATAAATTTCTCACCATCGGCTATAAACTGATAACCAGTAAGTGGTAGAATCAAACATATATCTTCGATTCTGGTTATGATCGTAACCGAGTTATTTCCCGTGTAGATTATGTAATCTTGGAAGGTGCTTTTTGGGGGTTCGAACAATATTTGCAGGCGATTCCCCAAAATTTTCGCAATCTTTAGTAGCTTAATAATAAATGTGGGGGCCCCTTGATAGAGGTGAGACTTTTCTAACCAAAAACTAATTTTTTATATACTTGAATTATAACAAATATGTGCCAAAAATTATATTTCAAGAAAATTTGACTGGAAAAAATTTCCAAATCTGTCAAGGGGCCCCCAAATTTATTATCAGACTACTAAAGTGTGCGAAACTTTTGCGGAATCGCATGCAACAATTCTCAAATCAAGATGATGTTGCCATCTTTATATTAATCAGTGTCTTAATCCAGTTCGCGGTGATTCCCAATGGAGGCCTAGCTCCCTACGAATCTAGAGAAATTTCATATTTAGCTAGTTAATATTTCCCACCTATTTTTGAGCTGGGTTTGAGACGATGCACTCTAAATAAAGTTGAGCAAAATATGCGATGACACAACTGGTTGTGCAAAATTTACCCGACGAAGGTGAAATTTACTCAAGATTGAGTGAAAATTCTACAACATTGGATAAATTTTAACTTTCATAAGGTAAATTTTACACAACCAATTGTGTCATCGCATATTTTACTCAATCTTGACTAAACTTTAATCAAATTTATTTAGAGTGTAGTCATAAATGGTTAGGATTAAAATAGTTCGATAACATTTCCAGACATTAAAGAATGTCGCTAATCGGATTTCTTTGTTAGGAAAGCCATTTTCCGTATCCAGTCAGAGCGTATAATTTAATTTAATTGACAAAACATGCTTGCTAAACAAATGCAGTACATAACACAAAATAACAGAAACAAAACATTGAGGGCATTCATTTTGAGTTCGCATCGTTAGCAATGTTCGCAAAAATATAAAGTTCGCAAGTTCGCAAAAAAATTTCTTGAAAATTGCTTTGCGAAATTGCGCATCTCCAAGGCTAGTATTTACTTCGCAAAATATTTCTTGCTAATTTTGAATAGAAAAAGTCCACAAATCTCCACTAGTTACCAAAGTTTTGCCATTTTAATTTTCGAAATTTCTGAAATGGTGAATTTCAAGCACAAAACTTCGGTAACTATTGGAAATTAACGTAATTACCCCACTGAAAAATTCGAGACATTTGAACAAAATTGTCCGAACTTTGTCATGTGTCTTCATTACGTTGCTTCGCAAAATTCGCAATTTCGAAAAAGTTATGTTGCGATGCGAACATACGAACTTGTAATGCATACCCCGATTATAAAATCAAATATCGTTAAGAATTTTAAATACCGTTAAATATCACAAAAAATCCCACCTAGGGGCCCCGAATTGGCTTTATCCGCCACTGGATGCATTATCCATAAATTAACAGACTTGGGAGAAGTATTTGCATCCGAAAAGGAGAAAGTCCCCTAACTTTAAGAAATTTTACATTTTCCAAATATTTGTGCACATTTTCTCCTCTTTGGGTGCAAATTGCTCTGCCAAAGTTGTCCATTTGAAGGTTGTTTCTTGTGCCGATTTCATGCCAAGTAATCAAAGTTATGATAAATTGACACAATTTTGGTGAAAACTGGAAAGCATACATACGGCCGGGGACATTCATACATTCTTAACCTAACTAATTTGTTCTCTTGCAAGTGATGATGGAAACGCAAAATTGCTGAATTTCAACTTCAACGCGCTACAGCTCGGCTCAAGTACGAATTGTCAGATTAGCAGCTTTTGCCAGTCCTTCTGTACCAAGTGGAATTTGGTCGCTACTTGTCCCACGTCAGGATCTTCATCTACCGATTGCAACTGTAATTTGGCCAGTCTTGGGTGAAAAGCAGAATTTCGGATCCAAACATGTAGATTATGTACATTTACATTTATGAATTTAAAACAAATAGAGACACATTTGTAATTTAAACGTTAAAATAAATATCCCACATGCATCCAAACGTTACTGGCATTTTGCATCCAATTTTTATGTACTATGTGTAGCTTCCTATTTCCAAATGATTCTGCATTCTTGTAATTAACAAACTTTATGGCAAATTCATTATGACAGATTTTTAGTGTAGCACGCTTCGCTATTAACAATTGTTTGGATGGGAATTAAAAACATTGGAACAAATGGTGGGAATTTTTGCACGGAATAAGATTTAGATCTTTGGATGTTTAAATAGGTACAGATAAGCATCTGTACTGGACGATCGTCCAGTTGTGTTTGCTCAAAGTCTTATCCGCAATCAAACCGATTATGTCAAGTCTTGCTGGCAAGGCCATATTCCTTAGATGATGGTAAATATAGGTACACTCTGAACCAATCTATCGTAATACAACGATACATGCAAATGAGAAAGTTATTTTCCATAGGCTATGCAGATAGTTATTTACGTACCTTTATCTGGTTTCACGCCTCAATCAAAATTGTTTTAAGATCGTGTAAGCTTTCTGACGCAAACGAAGCTTGTGTTGCTCACTTACCTAGAGCTAAGGTTAGTCGACGTGGATAATAGGGCTAGTTTTCTTCATGACATACTGTTTACCTGGGGGGCAATGGAACTACAAGCTGGAAATGGCACCCGTTCAAGTCCTTAATGCATTTATGGACTTTGAAACCAAGGTTTTGAAAGGTACTGGATGCAAATATGGCGATTTTTTAAATGTGTTTCTTTATAACTCACAATGGAGGTCTCCCAACGTATGCTCTCAGATTTGGACCAAATTAGCGTCAATAGATCACAACTATCATTAGTATGAAATTTGCAAATGGAACTATCTGCCAATGCGTAGGTTTTGGGAGGATATTTGCATTTAAAAGTGGGAAAAATTGGCAGAAAATTTGGAAAATAAAAATTTGCGAGCCTTTTGGCCCGTTTTGCCCCCTTTTGCAAATATCTTTGCAAAACCTGCGCATTGGCAGATAGTTCCATTTGCAAATTTCGTACTAATTATAGTTGTGATCGATTGACGCTAGTTTGGTCCAAATCTGTGAGCATACGTTGGGAGACCTCCATTGTCAGAACAACTTCTAACATCTCCCAAATTCATGATGACACTACATATGTACGTGTTAAGCCCAATGTTACTGTGGTCGCTTGCTAAGCTGGTTTGACTAATTAATGGGATCTGCGCTATGTCTTGATGTATGTATGTACTTACACTCTCAGTTTTCGCCATAAGTACATATAAATATTTATATATATATATATATATTTATATATATATAATATGTACTGTGGATGAAGTTCTAACCCTGCAGACTTATTACACCGCTTTGTAGCATTAATTTCACGACGTCACCGGTCAAAAAAATTTTTTCCTCCAAACTGGTCCAAAATAAAAGTCTAGCATGGGAATAGTATAGAAAAATTATTTTTAGCGTTCTATGACCCCTGGGTCATGAATTAAGGGCCCCTGAAGGGTCAAATAGCGTTCCCTGATAACCCCATGCAAATGGGGTATCAAATTAATCCCCTGGACCAGGGGAACCAGAAAAATATTTTTATAAATTTTTATGACCCTTGAGTCGTGAACTAGGAGCCCTTGAAGGGTTAAATATCATTCCCTCACAACTAAAGGCAAGTGGGGTATCAAATTAATCCCCTGGACAAGGGGAACCCAAAAAATATTTTTCTGGATTTTTTTGACCCTCAGGTCAAGAGTTAAGGGCCCCCGAAGGGTCAAAATAGTAACCATGGTAACCCCATGCAAGTGGGGTATCAAATTAATCCCCTGGCAAAGGGCAAGCATAAAAATATTTTCCTGATTCCCCTGGTCCAGGGGATTAATTTGATACCCCATTCACCTTAGTTACCATGGTTACTATGTTGACCCTTCAGGGACCCTTAACTCTTGACCTATAGGTCAAAAAAATTCAGGAAAATATTTTTATGCTTGCCCTTTGCCAGGGGATTAATTTGATACCCCACTTGCATGGGGTTACCATGGTTACTATTTTGACCCTTCGGGGGCCCTTAACTCTTGACCTGAGGGTCAAAAAAATCCAGAAAAATATTTTTTGGGTTCCCCTTGTCCAGGGGATTAATTTGATACCCCACTTGCCTTTAGTTGTGAGGGAATGATATTTAACCCTTCAAGGGCTCCTAGTTCACGACTCAAGGGTCATAAAAATTTATAAAAATATTTTTCTGGTTCCCCTGGTCCAGGGGATTAATTTGATACCCCATTTGCATGGGGTTATCAGGGAACGCTATTTGACCCTTCAGGGGCCCTTAATTCATGACCCAGGGGTCATAGAACGCTAAAAATAATTTTTCTATACTATTCCCATGCTAGACTTTTATTTTGGACCAGTTTGGAGGAAAAAATTTTTTTGACCGGTGACGTCGTGAAATTAATGCTACAAAGCGGTGTAATAAGTCTGCAGGGTTAGAACTTCATCCACAGTAGGTACACAAGCCAGAAAAAGAATGACAAACATAATTGCAAATTTGATGTTTTTACTTTGCTTCAATATATATCATAAATAAATATAAGCGACGGTGACACAACCAAGATTATTGTGGAATTCGTTTATTATACGACCTTGATCGATAGGCATGCATCATACACAGGCCCTACCTCCTGTTAAAAACTAGCTTTTTAATTAAACGTTGCTTACTTGGAAGTGTGTTTCTATCCTGCTGATGGATGATTATAATCATACATAAGTTGTAAACAAAAAATCCAGTCGCTGGTCGTTTAGCTCTATTAAGGGGTGAAACCCCTTTATAAAATCGTTATGTCCGTCTGTCTGTCTGTCCGTCCGTCTGTCTGTTGGCGCTATAACTTTCGAACGCAATGACATAAAGACTTGAAATTTGGAACATAAACTCATTGCACCAAGGGGACGAAGTGATTAGAATTTGGGGGTCATAGGTCAAAAGGTCACGGCGCCAGGTCATAAGGTCATAATATTTTAAATGACAAATGGGTCGTGTGAGGTGTCAAATTGATAGGGTTTTCAACGCTCTGTCCAATGGGATAGGCCATTTTGACCTGCGACGCTCCCGTGACCGTGGGGACGAGGTCAAAGGTCAAAATGTCGAAATTTTTGTTTGAGTTCGAAGTTATAATGATCACATGCAAATACATGCATGACTTTGTTTCACCCCTTGGTTACAGTCGTTTGTAACGGTTTATTATGTTATTAAATATAAGATGTAATAATACGAATAAACAAATTCACGTATGACTAAAAATCCAGTTAGAAATAGAGAAACAACTTTCTCCACACAACTGTCCCAAAATTAAGCCATTGGCTTTAATTTATAGACTATGGTTTAATATATGCTATATTACGCAACCTTTCCGCTTAAAATTTAAAATTTATTTATTGATTTACCAGCTACGGACATAGCTAAATTCATACTTATGTATGTATACCTAAATGCATTTTGATGCGTCCGCATTTCACAAATAGTTGTAGTTTTGCCAAGTATAATAATCCGGGTTGAAGGACTGGTTGGTTGGTACTTGCCAAAACTCGTCGATGCTTTCGCTCCCCTGTTGCGGCACTTGAGACATGACGGACCACGCCCCCTTCTCGTTTATACAACTCGACAACATGAATGCGGTTCCCGTTCCGGTCGTGTCGGAAATGTGGTCGGTCCATGAAATCACGGCGTCCCATCGTTCTATTAAAACCAAATATGTATGCGCAAAATCACAACTTTGCCTTGGAAATTTGTACTAAATTGCCAAAAGAATTTTGATAAAATTCACATGTCAAATTTGAGTTCAATAATTTGGGAACGTCCACAAATTACGTCATAAGAAAAACCGATTTTTCGAGCATTAAAGCACCTGGCGTTCTATCCTACACATGTGAAATATAAATATTACATAAGAAGGACGGACGACGCAAAACCGGCCACCCATGTTTTTGTTTACGTAACACCTGGACGGTCCCTTCCCAAAGGTTTAATTCTAACCACCTTTTAGGGAATGGTGAAAAAATGGCCAAGGTAGCTTAACGTTACAGGGTAGCTTGTGCCACATAGTAAAAACGGGTGTAACGCGTTACGAGAGGGGGAAGGAAGATGTTAAAAAATCCACAGTTTTACGGCGTATTTTATGAACGTTCCCTCACATAAACCTTACGCAAGTATGACGGGCGTGTCCCCCTCGAGCAGAATGGAGTGTCGATTATCTGCGGAAGACAGAGTGGATGCGGGTGGCACGAGAATCGGGCAAATTCTTGAATTAAGATGGGCAACGTGGGGTACAAGACTGCCACCTGCTGGAGAGCGGTCTCAATCGAGTCCCAATCCAGGATAGGGAGAGCCTTCAAAGTCGACGTGATGACGTTCCAAAGCCCTTGAACAGTAAGTGCTCTTGGGGTGCAAATTAAATGAATATATTTCGCGCCATCATCAATTTTAACGGTCATGTCGTCCAGTGTGAAGTCCACGTTGGTGAACATCCCTTCAATCGCGGCCTGGTCGGGGGCACAGCTGCCGGAGAGGCACTCGTAAATGGAGCGGTACGTGAACTGATTTCCGTTCGAGAGGAAGTAAGAGCGAGGCGTTAGGACCTGAAAATAGATAAATTGAGATTTCATAGTAACGGAAAAAAATCAGACTGTAAACTTTAAATTCATACCCTCCCACAAGTCGATCCCATAGCGGGTCATTAAATTTAACGCATCACGCACCAGTAGTAAGCACGACGGTTAAAAATAGTGGCAACATTTGCGTTTTTGAAAAGTCACAATAGGGAGATTGCGGTTCTTTAAACTAAATGCTCACCTAAACGCGAAGTTTTTAATACTCCACACAATTACATATTTATGTGTTTAGAGTGATCGTGAAAATTTAGCTAAGACCCTTAATTCCCAATCTCCCTAATCAGGGTTGCAAGTGGTATATATCACCTGGTGAGATTTAGTTAGATTTAATGATTTATATCAATCATCTCAGTTGGGGCTGATTGAGAAATATGAGAAATAATGAGCTAAACTTGTAGTTCATGACCCCGTCCGCTAGGTGGCGCTAGTGCATGGCTCACAAATCTCACTATATCTCATATTTGTCATGTCTCACTATTTCTCATTATTTCTCAGTGAGATGAGATTTATGAAGGTGAGATGAGATTTCTGCAACCCTGTCCCTAATGTCACCGCGCTTGATTGGGCATAAAATTATTAAGCAAATAATTTGTATCCTTGCTTATCGTTTAAATTTTAAAATTTCGGACAGTGCAACGAAAATACTTGGGAACATGCTAAAAAAGTTGTTATAGATTTGTCCTAGATTTTGTTAAACATATAATTTTCAATTTGAGAAAGTCTAACTTACCCAAGCCAGATCTCGGATCGTTGCAAATCTATAAGAAACATTGGCCGCCGCGTCGATCCCTGCGCCCGGGCAAATTGTGGCGGTCGTCTCGATTACATTATTACTGCAGAGGGATGCCTCCCCCACGGTAAGACTGCCTAGGAGGAAAATACCCCCTAAAATTACAAGTTTGTCCAGGCCGGGCTTCATTTTTGCTGGATGGGAGCCAGAGGGCAATTTAGACTGAAATCAAGCTTCAATAAGTTCGTTTATAAATAGTTGGTTCAACCTCCAGTCTGAGCAATGGTTACCTGTGCATCAATCTTGATAATCCACACGCGCACTTGGTACCTAAATACTTCACCGTAATGGAAGAGATTAGTCGATAAGTACAAAAAATAAAAATGTGCATATGCAACCCTTGATAAGTACGAGTGCCGTTAATTGATCTGTATCCAGTTCACTGTCCTCTTGACAATGACTCCTGTATGTAATTGCTTATAACGCTCCTTGTACATTGTGCAGTCTAGCCATAACAAAGTACTTGATCTTTTTGGCACAAACAAAACACTTATCATTTTGAGACCGAACAAGTTGCCAGCTTCTTACACATAATTGTTTGAACTTGACCAAGTGTAAATTTAGCAGGAAAAGCGTTACGTTAATATTTAGTACGGTGCGCAAAATTTGCATTTTGACCTTTGCTTGCACTTGTCCAAAGTGGAGAACACTCACAAATGCAAGTGTTGCCAGGTCGGTGGGTGCTGTATAAAAGCTGGCACTTACCAAGCTAGGCAGTGCATTACCTGCCTGCCTTGAAGCCAAATATGGACAAAACTATGGAAATCATAATTTTGACGTTATTCCTCATCTTGGGGGGAACCTTTGCGGCACCCGTGGAAAATGGGAAACATATATTTCGAGATCCAAGTATGTATTTCAGATGACAAAATCTTTGTTTCATTGAAATTTTGACAATTTGATTCATATTTATTTATGTAGTTGCTCCTGGCTACGTGAAATTTGGCGACATGATTTTACCCGAGAATTTCACTCTGGACGGAAGAAATGCAATTCCCTACACGCAATTTAGGTGGCCCCAGGGACAAGTACCTTACGTAATTGATTCATCCGTTTGTAAGAAAGTCTTTTTTCATATGTATTTCGCGAGGGGCTTTGTGCATGCATATAATGTCTCCATTATAGTTAATACTGCACTCTAAGAAATGGGGTTACAATTATTACCAAAAATGTAAATGTTTACCGCCGTGGTTATAAATTTGTCATCGAGTGGTTACAATTGTCACTGACTAATTACAAAGTTTCGCCGATTCGGTATTGAATTGTCATCAGAGCTAATAAACTTATAACCAGTTGGTGACAAATTCATAACCAGGGTGGTAGAGTCATATAGGTTGACTTTTTGGTTATAACCGTAACCCCACTTCTACAAAAGGCGTCCAGACATAGTTTGCACAAATTCATAAATTAATTATGCGATGGTTTTTTTTTTGAGGTGGAGATTTCTAACATTTTTTATGTGAAAGCCCAAGTCTCAAGCTGCAGATTAACCTATCGGGATTCCGGTTTTGTCCGGCACTACGTGAAATGAGGCAAGGTCAAATTCGGAGAGGTGTCATTTTTTAATTTTCCAAATTAGTGCTCTGATCAAATGGCGTCGAACAAAAGATTTTTTTCTGAGGCCCTAATGCAGAAATCATCTTTGCAACTATTATCAAGGGACTTAACATGCTTTTCACTACATAAAACCACTTTTGTTTCATGCTTATCTTTTAAGTCCGTTTTGTAGTTTAAATTCATACTTGTCCTAATGGAATGCTCTCGTGAAGGCAACTCCTCAACTTTTAGGGCCCCCACATTTTACGACTTTGATGCTAAAAATCCCTATCGTTGTTTTAATCAAAGATGCTAATAGTATGTTATACTGGAAGTACTTTTGGAAAAGTTTTGACAAGTGGTTACACCTCACGAAGTGAGTTTTCATCAAACCCAATAATTTTTTTCCAAAGGTTCTCCTTGTAATTGAAGCCAAACTTCAGAATTAAGGAAGTAACCAAACGCAGTAATTTTATTATTTTGGCACTTGTACTTTGTAGGTAAAATAGTTCTGCGGCAGGGGACACAAAAAAGTTATTAAAATTTACTTTCAACGCAATTTGACCATTAATATTCCAAATTAGTTCACGATTTTTTAAGATTCCTCGTCCGCTGATTAGCTCGGGTCCTTCTCCAAAACTGGTTACCTAAAATCTTAACTGTTTTGTTTAATATTACTTAGGACACTTCCGGCTTTACCTTCAATCTTCATTTGACCCAGTGGGTCCGCTTTCAAGGCCAGGAGGTCAATTTTCCTGGGCACTGTTCGATTTATTACTTTTTTGGGCTAAATATCGGCGACGTTGGAGGGCCTACATTATGTGATTCATTCCGGATTCTTTCATTATTAGATACAATAATTATCTGGGGTTATAATACTTACAACTTTTCATCTCTGACCTCTTTGGTTATCATGCTGTATGAGTAGTTAAGTTTGGAAACTGTTTTTTTGCACCTTTCAACTCTGGGGGCACTGGAGGGGGCATTTTTCAAGTTATCGCTGTAAAACTTTAGAAAAAACATTTTGAGAGTATTATCTTGCAACTCGCCAAAAATCAGCTCAAAATTTAATGCCCCGCCAGAGATATTTAACTTAGAATTTGTGCAAACTAGCTGTGGACGCCTTTTGTACGAGTGTCCTTATAAATACATGCATACATTACCCGTATTATTTCTCGTGTGCGGTTAGATTACATATTTTTTTTGCATAACACCTCTATCGTATAATGTCATTTTGCATACTTCCCAATTATTCTAATTTTTCTACAGCCAGCTACACAAACCTAATCGGACAAGCCTTCCAAGATTACCATGCAAAAACGTGCATCCGATTTGTACCAAGAAGTAGTTTCCACAGGAACTATATCAGAATCTTTGCTGGGCAGGGGTGCTACTCGTATGTTGGGATGATAAATCAAGGACAGCAACCAGTCAGTCTGGGGCTTGGGTGCATGATCAAGGGGACAATAGTGCACGAACTCGGCCACGCGATTGGTTTCTTCCACGAGCAGAACAGGTCGGACCGAGACGATCATTTGATCATTTACTGGAACAATATCCAACAAGGTTTGCGTTTTAAATATTATGCAGTCGTAGAAATGTGGTGCTTATTTACACTCTTAGAAATGGGGTTACGATTATAACCAAAAAGTAAAAGTATGTTACTCTACCGCAGTGGTAATTAATTTGCCATCAAGGGATTACAATTGTCACCGAATAATTATAAAGTTTTACCGACTTGGTATTAAATGGTCACCAGGGCTAATAAATTTATAACCAATTGGTGACAAGTTCATAACCACGGCGGTAGAGTCATATACGTTTACTTTTTGGTTATAATCGCAACCCCATTCCTAAGAGTGTACTCATGCCGGTGTTGATTTCGCGGTATTAAAGTGACCACCGTTTGAAGTGCAGACGTTCATATTAATTAATCACGATTAATTAATCGCGATTAACTGATGGGGACTGGGGGTTAACAATCCTTAATGCTTTACCCAAGCATAAATTAGTATAGAATTAATCTTTAATCTCGACGAAGCGTGACTAAATTGCATGCAAATCCGTCACATCAGGATTAGAATTAAGCTGATCGCTATCACTAAATGTAACAAAATATGTAAAAATTAGGCTAATCCTGAATCAAGAATTGATCAGGATTGATCCGCAATCCGCAATTCTTATCCCCGAAGTCAAGGGGATTATTTATGAATTATTCTTCAACATTTGTCCCAGAAAATGGAATTATTTAATTAATCCCGGAGTGAAATTAATCCTTATGCAATCTTTAATCCAACAACCTAAACTATCATGACAGTGGGGGTCTATTAGCCAATGATCTCAGATTTTGGCTAAATTAGTGATAAGGGACTACACATTTAATTAATACGAAGTTTGCAAAAAGACACCGAAAAGCTCATCCAGCACTCGAGTCGGGCTGACAAAGTATGTGATATAAATATTTGCCTTAAAGAGGAGAAAATGAGCCATATATTTTTCAAATTATGCAGTTTTCAAATTTTTAAAAACATATGGCTGGTTGCAATAAAAGCCAGTATTAGTGATAATTTGTTTATTCAACATTTAAGAATTAATCATGGTTCACATAGGCCCAAAAAGGTACAAATTCACAACATTTTTCAGGCTCCTTCATCAAATACAAACCGTAAATCCTCTCATTATGAGACCTATTGCTGGTATTCTCCCCGATCACAATTCAACAGGAGGTTCAGTGAATCAGGATCAGTGATTAGTTAACACTAATCAAGATCTATAAACCCAAATTTAAGTGTTAACCAACTATGTAATAATTACCTTTCCCAGCTCGGGTGCAGTCATCCTTTCAGAAATGTACTTTCGTCAATTCTACCCAAAAATTTCACCTTGCCCCCAAAACATACTTGACCTCTAAAAGACAAGGGCTACCTCGAAAGGTCAAAGGTTGCCCCTTGACCCAAGTATGATGTATATTCGGACTCGTGAGGTCAGTATCCTTCCAAAAATATATGGTTTGTGGGGGTTCGGGCGAAAAAGTGCACCTGCAGAACCTGACCTTTGACCTCCATTTCCGGTCGAACCAGGTCACTTAGGGCTTAGGGACAAATACATTTTTTGATCAGCACCTCGAGGTGTACAACATATCAAAATTTGGGGCAAACATCAGGGCGGGGGATTTCCTCAAGAAGGGTGTGTCCTCCTTTGCGAATTTTTCCCATTGAAAAATTGCCCATTGTAGCGTGACATTTAAACAACCCTGCATATGTATTTCGAACAGACTGACATGACCTTGAAGGATTACACCGTTCTTCCCTCAACCGCCATAATTGCAGCTTCCATCCCACTCCCGAACACGATCTGCGCCGTGTACCAGACCCGGGGCCCTATGTATGCTTCAGCGTCCCTCGTGTTGTGGGAAGTGCAGGCGATTGTTGTAAATTGCGACGTACTTGGGACACCACCAACTTTTCGGACAGACCCTATTTCTGCGCCAAGTTGGAAATCTTGGACCACGTGAGTCCTCGAAGTGTATTTGCCCGCCAAATCACCAGCACGTGTTTGCTCGAGAAGCCTCCCCGAGAAGTTGACTGGATGACGGCACCCATCTATCGGGGGCTACGGGCGACCAATGGCCAATCCTTTGTCGGGAGAATATTTCTAGCAATGAGATCGTTACCAATGACATCGTGAAAGAAAAGTACGGATTGGCTGGAAGTTAGGGTTGTTAATATGTCATTTGTCATGACATGTCGACATGTCATAAATGTCATAAATGTCACAAATGTCTGACATTTAAAACATCGTGTCAATGTCAATATTTTTCAATGTGTCAATTTGTCAAATGTCATGACATGTCGTGACACATTGGCATGGACATTTTGGACATTTATGACATTTACAAAAAAACCGCCCTCTACGAACGTACGTGGAACCACGGTAGCAGAAATATTTTCTACTTTCCATTCTAACCATCTGTTTTATAATATTGAAATCAACAAGTAATTATATATTTATGTTCAAAAACTTGTTTTAAAACACCCAAAGTTTATTGAATTGTGTTTTTGGTTCATCTCTCACTCGGTTGAAGTTACTCTTGTAGCAAGAGTGTGGCGACAATTGTGACCCACATAATGAAGTCATAAGGGAAGAGGCGATAAGCATGTTTCTATGTAGTAAAATAATACTAACGAAGTCATATATCCTAACGACGATCTCCACATTTTAATCGGGTTTTCTATTTTTGTGTCTTATCTTTCCCCTGTTTCATGTATCCAAATGGCGATTATAAGACCTATTAATCGTCGGGTGTTTTCTAGAAAATTCTATTGCTTATTAAAGCGAATAATTAATTTTAAAAATGAAGGAAGGTTTATAAAGTTAGGAGGTCAGAATTTTTATTTTTTTCCCTTTTTAGCCCGAGTCAGGGCTTATGTAACCGTCATGTCCGTCCGTCCGTCCGTAAGCACGATAAAGCCAAAACGGCTGAACCGATTGACTTGAAATTTTTACCATATGCATATTGGGCAAAGTTAGGAATCAAGTTCGAAGATGAGCGAAATCGGTCCACTGGTTGACCGGTGGGGATCGTCGGAGTAGGTGGGGTATTACGCATCAAAATTTCAAATCGTCCTAGAAAGCTGAAATTTGGTACTTAGGTTGCTAATGGCTTCTAATTCACAAAAATTCATTCAGGTTGGACAAATTTTTAGAAATTGATTTAAAAGCATGAAATCAGGCATGGTAATACTTAATAGGTTGGCAATATTATTTATGTCGGTCAGGTCGGAGAAAAATTTAGAAATCTGACTTATCGAGTCAGGGACTCTGTCCCTGACTCGGGCTATATGGAGTCTGCACTGTAGATTTTTTAAATTATACTTATTATCAAGCAGCATCCCAATATTTCCAGAAAAATAGTCTTCGTTTTTCTTTATTATTTTGAACTTGAATTTAATAAAGTAGTGCTTATGTTAATAAGTAGTATATCTTATTCCATGGTATGTATCTCTTGTATTAATTTATCAAATTAAAGATATACCGAAGGAATAATATTATGCAAACTGCAATCTAGTTTTCACGGACCAGAGGGAAGACAAAATTGTGGTCTATTGTCGACAGGTTATAGTCACGATGAGTATTGCCACTTATTTACGTTATTTGTCATAAATGTCATAAATGTCCAATTTGTTCGTCATATTTGTCATCACGTCATTTTTAAGTTTTTAATTTTTCAGTAAATATGTACGTCACGTGTGTTTGGACTCTTAAGATATTTTCCCTTGGTGATAAATAATGTAAATATGTACGTCCTCAATCATGGCACCAAAATAAAGCACCATCGTATTTATGTACATACCCGGCTGACGATTTTTTCTCAAATTATTTAGAATGAAATTAATACCCCGTTCCCATTTTATGAGGCGTAATTCATTTTGAAAATCAAATGTTACCTGAGGTTCTCCAACACATTCTAAAACTTCTGAGTCCACTCGTGGTGAAAAATATGGAAGAAATGTTAAAATGAAGAAATTTATAAGTCTTATTCGACCCATTGTTAGAAATTTAAGTTAATTGGATTTAAGCACGGCGAATTGTGTAGCGTTGATCTACTGACTCCTTTACATTGACGTCGCAGCCTTTTTATTACGACCCCACTCGCAGATTTATCCCACTTTAAAAAATTCCAGCAGTTATTGGATGTCACTTTACCAGGAAATAATCAGGTCAATTAAATATTGAGCGACCCGATAAGACCAAAATTAATTTATTTTCTCGGTAAATGCATCTTTTGTTAAGTGGCGAGGTAATAAATCGTTGAAAAGTAGTGCTATTTATCTTTATTTGTTAATTGAGTGACAGGTGTGATAAAATGTGCAGAATTTCAACGAATCCTATTTTCAGTGGTGTAATTGGTTACGCAATTCACCATGTTTGCATAACTGTCTAATTCTTATCATCAATTCATTAATCGATCATAGTCATCAACTTTTGGAATTCATGCGAAAGTGAGGGTTACAAACCAGTGAGTTTTTGTCACCTGAATGAGGAATTTTTGCAAATCAATTTCCAGCTTAAGTTAGGAGCACAGTGTGGATCTAATGTCTATGACCAGTATGCTCTTATGACGCTGTTAAAAAAATCAATAGTGTATTACACAGAGGTGGGCAAGATCAAAGTTTTCGGAGATCGAGATAAAAAATCAAGATCATTTTTTCGTTTCTCATAAGATAAAGATCGCAGATCAAGATAAATCTGCCGAATACTTAAGATACACTAGGGAGCAATAGTATTCGGGCAAGACCAACCTCAAAATTCAAATGTCAATGACGGAGTAACTGGTGAAGGTATTGATTTGAAATCTTCTGCAATTTATGCACCATTTAGTTGTCTTTCAGTGGTACGATGCCAATTTTGAAAAAACGTTCCAATCTCCACGTGACCCAATTAACAGTAAAAAAAGTCAAAAAAAGAGAGCAAAATTATTCGGGCATAATTAGCTTTTATTCAATATCGACATGTATACTTTGATTGAACATCCAAAGTTGTAGTCAATGATGTGTTGATCCTATATTGCTTCGAATAACAGCATTACAATGGCCTTTAATACATGCCACCAATTTTGAGACGATTTCTCTACCAGCGTTTCGCATAGTTCAAAATTTTTCAAAATTCAGTTCGCCCACGCCTGAAATTTTGAATCTTGATTTTTCTTTTCGACATAGTTCCAAAGAGATCCAATGGGATTAAGTTCTGTGCTTCGTGGTGGCCATTACAACACTTTAATGTGTCTTTTTTCAAGATAATCACTGGTTGGTTTCACTTTTTGCTTGGGGCCATCTCCTTTTGCAATGTGGATAGTCGACCCTGAGCGTGTAAGGTGGTAAAAATTTTCATATTTCATATGGCTAGACCCTGAAATTTTTGTCAGACCATTCGATATGCTAATATTGTTCCTGCAAAACATTGACCCAATTAAAATTTCGTCCTTTCTCTTGATCTCGTTTGCTGAATAATTGTTTTTTCCTAGCTCCAAAATTTATAAGTCCGGCAGTTTTCAGGGTTCTCGCTTTTCGAAATCAACTTGCCGATTATCCAAGTTCATTTTGGTCCTCGGTTGCGGTATTGGGTCTTGAACGCCTTGGCATGACTTTCATTTTTCTAACGATGGCTTGCTATAATTTGCATTAATTCTTCGACATTCTTCCTGTTTCTTGGATGCTTGCAGTTGTACCAGTCTCCCTATATTTCTTAGTGATCTAGTGGACAGAGGGTTACATGACACAACACATTTTGGAATTTTGACAATGCGTCCTCTTCCCAGTTTCATTGGGTTTCCAATGATGGATTACGAGGCCGACTACTTCAACGAGAATTTCTGCTGACTTTCTCCACATGTACTTGCAGGTTTGAAACTTTAAAATCTAGAAGATTATAACATGGTCAATTAAAGACAAGCAACAATTTTTAATTATCACTTCCATTTGTGTAAACATTAGCGTTTTTAGAAAAAAATCCGAATAATTTTGCTCTCTTTTTTCTGACTTTTTTCACAATTATTTTGATTTTGCGGAAATTCGAACTTTTTTCTAAAATAGGTTTACTACAACTGAAAGACTACAAAATGATGCATAAACTGCAAAAGATTTCAAATCAATACCTTCACCAGTTACTCAGTCATTGACATTTGAATTTTGAGGCTGGTCTTGCCCGAATACTATTGCTCCCTAGTGTATGTAATACTATTACATACTTGGGGACAAGTAAGGTTGAAGCAAAAACGGTACCATGAATTTAATGGATGAAAGCGTCTCTTATTTTTTACGTTTACTACCCATAATTTAATTTAGGGGCGGAATAAATCGGTGGCTTTCTTTCTAACAAGGGATCCTTTCGAGGTGAAAGTCGTTTCCAAGGTACCCATTCTGTTTTTTAGACCCTAGATGAAGGATCCACTCATATTCGGCGCCATGGCGTGCTACAAATTAATTACTTGTGCGAATTATCCTTATAGATTTTTAAACTAAAAGTTAGACTGGCATATTTCCAAATTGTGTTTCCTCTTAAAGAATCATAATTCAGTATCAATAGTTGTCGCAAATTAATTCCGCCGCCTCCATGAAGTGCACCCTTAACCCAGAATTCACTCAGAACCAACAAAAATAAATAAAACGCCGTGTAAAGTTTTCTTTAACACATGCGTTTTTAGAAACACTGGGCTCGCCAGTTACAAGTGAATGATGCAATTGAACTGATCTATCCCAGTTAAACAGATGCATGCATACGTATGTACTTAAGTAAAAATCCTCAATTGATGTTAGCCACATTTTCAGAACTAGAGTGACATGATGACACATGAGTGACATGTGTGATAAAATCTCAAAAATTTCACAGAATCATGTTTGTCAATTTATCATTCAAAATTGATTTCTATGCTTGTTCAAATTAAAATTATTTTTTGACCAGCTCAACCGTGTAGGAAAATCTATTAAAACGAGGCTTGCGATGATGCGCAAAACTCGAAGCGCTATTGGCGCCGGGAAACCGTTCGGTTTTCTAGCGGAATGTGTGCCTTTCAGATTTTTCTAGCCTTGATTCTTCGTGAAAATCCAGCGTTTTAGCCAACCAGTGGCGCCGATAATTCTCTCAATGTTGCGGATCTAGGTTACTTCCGAACTACATAGGGGATATATATATATTACGTCATCAAAAATTCTAGCACACAAGGTAAACATTAAGGGATAGGGAATTTTAACATGAGAACGATAGGAATACCTAAACCACCCACCCACTAAAATGATGACGTAATATGTGGATGTTCCCATATGTTTTAAAGGTTGCTTCTGAAGAGTAAGTCTTTCCTGCTGAAATGATCAAAAAATTATGTGGGTTTAATATGTTTTGCTTTTCGATTGCAAGTTTAGCATATTAGTAATTGCTTATTTCTTTATCTCGAATAAACATGTAGATGTTATTAGTATTCCTAGACTGATTTGAGAAATTTATTTATGATTCAAACCTGACTCGCACTGAGATTAATGACTAATTAAGCTGGTTTATCAATATGTTTAAGGGGCCGTTCATAAATTATGTAACGCGAGAGGGGGGGGAGGGGTCTTCAGACTTGCGTTACAGGATGTGACGAGGGGGGAGGGGGGGGGGTCAGGGTCTTGCGTTACGTAACTCAAATTCAAATGTAAAATTTGCTCAAAATGGTTAAAAATTCCAAAAAACATTCAAAATTTCCGAAAATTATTTGACATTTCCTGAAAATAATTGAAAATTCTCGGAAACTTTACTCTACAGGAAACGAGTTTGCACGATAATTCGAGAAAATTTGCAAATAAATCTTTAAAACTAATATAAAAATTGAGAATTCCGATCCATACGCACTGTCGTATAAAAATGCTAGCAATTCATTATGTCATAAAAAATTGGACCGTCAGGTTTCTGAAATTGGGCAAAAGATTTATACTTCATGATATTTGATAGGAAACTGAACTACCATTGTCCACAACAAAATATGATAAAATTTTAGTTCTTCCGATGAAGTTAATTTCATTACCAATTTACAATTGCAATTTACCCAAAGTTTGCGCAATTCCACTTCAGTTAAGTAATTCGATTAAGCAAATTCATATAAGTTGTGTATTCTGCATTCTGTATAGAATGAACGTACAGAAATGTCTTTAATTTTTTTTCATTTTTGTCCTTTACATTTTCGGAAAAAATGAGATTTGCGTTACGTTACACAGGGGGAGGGGGGGTATTGGTCTTGCGTTACGCTAGTGTGACAGAGGGGGGGGAGGGGTCTGAAAAAAGTCGATTTTTGCGTTACATAATTTATGAACGGCCCCTAAGAGATCGGCCCAATTCTCCATATACTCGGCGGGAAATGGGTGTGGCGCTTAATTCATGGATTTCCAAAAAAATACGTTATCTTTAAGATAACATTGACGTAACTTTAATAGTTTGACAACTTTGACAAGTTTAATGACAACACCCCCACCGGGGCGAAGGTGTTTGGTCTAACGCTAATTTTCGAACTCGACGTCCCAATAAAAATTAGAAACACGTCGCAAAAAATCGGACCAATAAACAGACGGATGAATAGATAAAGATTTTGCTTAACACATAAATCGCATCTATTACATTCGGCCTATCTATTTCACAGAGTTTATATATATCAATATCAATATCAAAAATAGTAAACTTGTTATACTTTAAAATTCGAGTTTTCCAGCTTGTCCGTCTTCAATGCAAATATGTATTCTATGTACATAAATACGTATTTACATAAATATGTACATATTTCCTCAGTCCGTTTTTTAACGTTAGAAGGCACACTTTAAATAATTTGGAGACAAATTGTCACACACCATGGAGGGAAATACTACATAAAATGTCATATTTTTGTCATGATTTTCACAAATCATGACACTACTAATGGTTCTACGTACATATGCAAGTGAGGTGACACATACAAATAATTCGACTGTACTTACATACATGTATACTCACATTTGCATACATACATACATACATACTTATGTATATGTAGCGTAAAACAGTTGAAATTTTGGCAAAGTTGGAAGGAATTTGCATAGGTAGCTGTTACTTTTAAGAAAAAATATTTACATGCATATTACAAGAATATTTGCATGCGTACGTGTAGGTTTATTTATTTTTTATGCAGTTTACGCCTGTACTTATTTCATTTCATTTATGCATTCACAACCTGTTGTCGCTTTGTTCACGGTGATGCTGGTGGTGGTGGTGGCGGTTGAGAAATGTGAGACACGGGAGGAAGCGAGGCAGATTAGTGTGAAGTTGGCCTCTCCTTTTTTTATTATTTTGGCTGAAGTTAGCCGGCTCACCCGACTAATATCCGATTGCCGCCCATAAATCCCACCTTTGTGGGGCAACGTGCGATTCGCTCCCCATGGTCCCAGAACTGTTCGAATTCAAACCTCTAGCCTTCCCGCCCCGTTTTAAGGGGTAATTTGACATTCGGACTCATGCATTTAGCTATTATCGAGTAAATTAAGGGTTATCAACACGTAATCTATACTTTTGAGGATTCTAGAACGCTATATTCAACTTGTGAAGCCAGGATGAAATGACACCTCAATATGCACATACACAGGTGCCTATACAACTCAAATACGAAATATAATAAAATTGTCAACTTTTAATGAAAACGCATGACTTATCAGATTTAGACACAGGACTCGGAAAAGGGCGACGCTATCGGGCTCGGGATACGCTTATTTTGTAGCTGTGGACTTGCGCTACCAAACGTATGTTGTGGCTACTCATGCACCACGCGGATAAGATCGAAAAAATTCGAGTAAAATCATACTTTTCCATTTGTTGTAAACATAAGAAAACCGAATTTCGGATTTTAATTTCTCGAAAACGGGCGAAGCTTTCGGGCTCGGAATACCCGCATTTTGTACCTATAGCCTTGTGCTATCAAGCGTATGTGGTGGCTACTCATGCACCGCTCAGATAAGAACGAAAAAATCCGGGTAATATCCAATTTCATAGGTTGAAGGCATAAGAAAACCGAATTTCGCATTTTAATTGATCGAAAATTAAAATCCGAAATTCGGTTTTCTGATGCTCCAACCCTTAGAAAAGTCGGATTTTGCCCGAATTTTTTCGATCTTATCCGCGTGGTGCATGAGTAGCCACAACATACGTTTGGTAGCGCAAGTCCACAGCTACAAAATAAGCGTATCCCGAGCCCGATAGCTTCACCCGTTTCCGAGTCCTGTGTCTAAATCTGATAAGTCATGCGTTTTCATTAAAAGTTGACAATTTTATTATATTTCGTATTTGAGTTGTATAGGCACCTGTGTATGTGCATATTGAGGTGTCATTTCATCCTGGCTTCACAAGTTGAATATAGCGTTCTAGAATCCTCAAAAGTATAGATTACGTGTTGATAACCCTTAATTTACTCGATAATAGCTAAATGCATGAGTCCGAATGTCAAATTACCCCTTAAAACGGGGCGGGAAGGCTAGAGGTTTGAATTCGAACAGTTCTGGGACCATGGGGAGCGAATCGCACGTTGCCCCACAAAGGTGGGATTTATGGGCGGCAATCGGATATTAGTCGGGTGAGCCGGCTAACTTCAGCCAAAATAATAAAAAAAGGAGAGGCCAACTTCACACTATTGCGAGTCAGTCGACTTTTTCCCTCGGCTGCAGCTGATGTGTGCTTTTTGGCTCCGTCAGAAATAATTAACTTGTGTCCGAGGAAATTAATTTGGCTAATAATTAATGGAATAATTAGTCAACTTTGGCAAGCAAACTATTCATTAGGCGAGGTGCTAGCTAGGTAGCCAGGTTAGTTGTCTTTTCGTTACTTCTAAACATTTTTGTTGCAAATTTAACTTTTTTTAAAAATTTGACTCGGCTAATTGTAAATTTTTAATTAAATGGATTAAATACTTTGGTTTGGGTGGAAAATAGTTAAGTTTTAATTACATTGAACAAGATTCTGCGTATATGGTGACTCTTCTTTTAAATATTTTGTGCCATGACTTAAATTTGAATCGGTTAATTGTTAAAAGTCGACAAAATACTGGGTTTTAAATATACAATATATGTACATACGCACATGAAATAATTCTTATTTTTCATTTCAGTCCCATTTTCGGGACTGAAATTAATCTTGTGCAGTATTCTGAATAAAGAGTAAACATTATTTGGCAACGGTAAAAGTGTTGATGGTTCCCATTATGAGAAAGAAAATCTTATAAAATTACGAAAATGGGAGAAATAATTCCAAAATTTAAACTTAAAATTATAACAATTCGACATTATTGATGAAAAATCTGGATGATGAAGTGATGCGGGGGTCAATGTCCTCGCGTGGGAGAGAGAGACCGAGCGAGACGGGCAAGAGCTGAGGTCGCGCTGGACATTGCATAAAAAATCACGCGTTTTTGCCAACTTGCGGCGCCCAAAACGTGATGAATTTTGCGCATCTGCGCAAGTGCCGCACCAAATGTTGTTTCGAAAGACTTGCTCTTTCAAACTAACATGGTCACAAAATAATCTGGGCTGAACATGGTTTGCGTCTCCATTGTAAGTATTTATGCTCTAGCGTAGTAAAAATGGTCAGAAACTTTATTTCTACCGAAAAAAGTAGTTATATATCAGCTTGAAATTTTTGTTCTAGGTACATATGTACGAGTGAAATTACAAAAGCTGAAAGTGAGGCACTCTAGTGCGACGTTAATATTCTCATCACATTTAAACAGGGACAAATACGATTAACATACCAAAGCAAAGCAAAGATGGATATTTCCCCAGAATTCCTTATATTTATCACAATTAACATGTTTTTAATCTTTCTAAATTTAAAAAATGCATTGTCTTTCACAATTTCAAACCTTAATGAAGAAATCCTTAGTCCTTTTGCTCACTGTGCTATTCACATCTTAACTTTTCAACGGATCGATTACGTTCCTCCATCCTGTCCAGTCGTACTGACATTATATTCACTCGACCATACCATTGAAGCTGCAATGATACCCGTGTTCAACGTAAATTACAATTGCCTTGTTCATGTATATATAGACCCAAACTCATCGCAATTACCTATGACAGGCGGCCGGACGAGTGGACAGAAGGCCTTTTCACAAATGCAGTTCTGGTATCAAAACCAGGCAACCGGGTAGGATAATTCGAACTCCTGTCCAGCAATTTGCTCCTACAAGAATGGCATGTTTTCAATGTACACAGGCCAATATAGTTTGCTAGTCTTGAGTGGTCCTGATTCAGCTCGAATACCATTAAATGTTTTGGACGCTTGGTTAGAACTTGTACGTTTAACAACGAACTCCTTGATAACGGATAAGATAGTTTTCTTCCTGGGGAACCAGACTAGTATTGTCCCCGGAGAAGAATTAGTCCCAATTTATCAGAAATATTTTGTCTGTGACATTTACAACTACGTTTCTAATGCGAGTACTAAAATAAAATGGCAAGAATTATCCAGCATAGATTTCAAGATTATGGAGGACTGCAAGGTATCTTTGGCAAGAGGGACCACCTGGGTAATATATGAGAAGGACATGAATGATCCAGGTCTATTGAGGTTTAGGCGGCTTTCAATTATACAAAGGTTGCAAACCCTTTCTCCTCTCAATTATGATTTAGCGACTAACTACCAATATTTTATAATTGCATTGTTTGTTCCAAACATAACGTTTACCGCGGCGACATATGTGTGGTGGGATAGACTTTACTACTCAAACCAACCAACTATTATCGCTAATTATGAAGACGATCTCGACATTAGTTATCCTACCCTGGATCAACAATTGTTTTGTTTTCTGACCTGTTCCGGAACTTCGATTGCAAGCTACAACTTTCAAGCATACATTACAATGTACGACAATATATCATGGAGCTTTGCCTTGGTACTTTGCTTTCTATCTTCAATCTTGCTTTGGTTAGGTTTAAATGTAACGTTACCAAAAGAGGCAACCTGGAAGAAGGGTAATTGGGATTGGCCTTTCAGAGTATTGTTAGAGCAGGGAGTAGATAATATCTGCGAACAATCTGGTTTAAAGCGTATCGCAACAAGAATTATGCTGGGGGCATGGTTCGTAATGGGTGTCATACTAAGCAATGGTTACAGAGGAAATAATATTTACGAATTGACGTCCCCGCTAAAGATCTCAGGCCCCCGCACGATATCCGACCTTGTGAAAGCCCAAGTCGAAATTTACTCCAGATTCGGTGTAGATGATGAAGAAGAAATGAAGGATAACTTGAAACTGTACTGTAGAAACGATAGCTATGCAGATATGCTTCGTGATCTCTCGCTACCTGGGTGGAAAGATGATATCTATCAAGCCTTCCAAAATCAGACAGTTTTGCCGAGATGCACAGGTCAATTAGCAGCAGATGTGATATTTAGTGACGATATTGAGCGATATGCTAAGCTAAATAATATGATTGATAAGACTATGACTGCGAGCGATTTAAGAAAAATATCCCCACAAAACCCATGTTCGTCAATATCTGGCGTCGGCTATGATAAGTTCCGGTACTTACACTATGATAGTACGTGGTCTGATTATGATCATACAAGCTTCTCACTTTCAGTTCGTGCAACCGAATTTGGCAGAAAATTAAAGTCGAGATTATATGCATTATGTATGACCCAGGTTGGGGAGCACATCGTAGCTAAAGATACGAATATAAGTTTTAATTTAACAAAATATGTCCGACTAATACCATTTCTTCAGGTATCGACTCCTCTTCTATCCATCTTGAACACAATACAAGAATGCAATGAAACAAGTTTCATTGGCTGGGACAGTGACGTTAAGCTCATAAGAATGATGTATTATGAGAGACATCCCGAGAAAAAAATCTTTATGGGGACGGACCCCATATTTACTAGAAATATTCGGTTTGCCATTCGTGGATTTTGGGGACGTCCAGCAGTTTTAAGAATGTTTAGTTTAATCGAATCCGGCCTGGCGGCGGAATGGAGAGAAATCCGCGACTTTAATCAAGTGCTGAAGATACACTCGGGTGAAAAGAACAAATCTCGAGTAGACAACAGGATGAGGGTGAAGACGTTGGCCATAGGTGATAATATTGTTACGGTCTTCTATCTGCTTCTCATCTGTATTGGGGTTCCTATGATTGCTTTCTTAGTGGAAGTTACAGTTAGGAATAGAAGAGCTATATTGTTCCATTTGTGGTGGATAGTTAGCAGATTGATAATTAAAGTGAGAAATAGGCGAAAAATGAAGAAACACATCATAAAATAAACTCTCAAACGCTGGCGACGGGCAAACGTAAGATAAACTTCTCTCAATACATTCGGCAACCCAAGAATATTTTAAGAAGATAATATATAGTCAGTTCACACTCACCATACCAACGTAGCGTGTTCCCGCAATATTTTTAAACTAGATGACCAATCTCTCGCACAAAATAGAGATTAAAATTAAGGACAGAAATTTTGTAAATCTAGTACGCCAAAAGTTACATGCACGTAATTTTGTCACAGATGTATGTTTTGGCTACTTATTTATGTGTTCGTGTGCATATGTATGTATAAATTTATGTATAACAGTTGAATTATAAACTAAACAAATTTGGAATTTCCAAGTTTTAGATATTTATTTTATTGTGATTTATTATTTGGATCTTTTCCTGCATGGGCACCTCCAAATATTACGTCATCAAGATGTGAATGGCTGGTTTCGTATCGCCTTTCTTACTAGGGTTAACCTCTTAACGACGAAGTACATACATTTGCGTAGTTATTTTATTTTCCATTCACGGCGAAGTTCACACATTTGTGTAGTATTCTTTTTTTGGTTGACAACGAAATACACAAATGTGTGAACTGCATAAATTTCCTTGACACCAAAATTTCCTTAAAAAGAATATTTCTTCTGCATTTTGTGGAAAACTCGATGGTAGTATGGTGGTCGATGGTGGTAAACTCGTTTTCAATTTAATTTGTCAATTCAGATACTAAACGTGTATGTGCCACTAAACACGAATATAGACGTTACTATTGCTTTTGGCAGATCTAAAGAAATCGCGTTCAAATTTGAAACGGGGCCGCTTATGAATCTTTTGCAGGGTACCAGTGACATTTTCGTTGGAACAAACTAAGGGCCGTATACAAATAAAAAAACTTAGTAAATTTGCATTTATTACTTTTGCTCATTAAAATACAACCTTTCCGACAGTAAATTCTGTGTTCTTTTAAATCTTTTTTAATTCTGGTAAGGAGGAAGTCGGACAATTTCGTGTCCGTGAGATTTTTAAAATCTGACAATCCTACAATGTTCGGATTTATTTTTTCAGCTTTAATAGAGTCCAAATTTTGGTATGAAATATTTTTGCTTTCAAAGCCAGTCTTTCATCAGGCCAACCTTCTCACTAGATTTTGGAGCGTCGGTTAAAGTAATCCTGGGATTGCCCATCCCTGAATTCCGAGCATCCATAACACGAAGACAGATACGCAAGCATGCATCCTTACGACCGAGTTATAACCTCGAAGTAAAATGTGAAGTTGACGGTGTAGGCAGACTTCCCTGCTGATAAATAGGATCCATAAAAACTTATACAATATTAAACATGCGTACAGGTACAGCGAATCCTTGTTCTTTAAATAATCGTTTGGTTTCTGAATGGGTTAATACCAGAATGTTCAACATTTGGTAAGGTATAAAAGTACTAGGTGGCCCAGGCAAACTGGTAGTAAAATAAAACGCTGTAGCTACCACAGTTTTTGTGTTACACATTTCTTGTTAATTTTATTGGAAAGCTAGTTAATTTTTGAGTAGAAAACAATTATT